GGACAGGAGACAGAGATGCCCTGCTCCTCCCACCCGTCAGGTCTATGATTCTGGGCGAGCAATGTCGAGTCAGACCGGCTCCCAGATCCTCCCTTTCAAGGGTCTGCAGGATGAAGCTTTAACATGTTTTGAGGGAGTCGGGCGACTGGGAGCTCAATGACAGTCTGCCTCCCTAACAAGGGCAACAATTCGATTATCCTGGTTATGGAAGATAAAAGATAACACTGCAACACTTCCTTTCAGGGAAATCAGAAATCAACTACGACCTTTCAAATTTAAAAATATTTTTCTATTGCATTTGTACATTTTTCTTGTAATGAAACTCTGACCTGGGGAATGGGTTTCAGTTATTGCACTCCACCGGGAGAAAAGAAACAGATGACTGCGCGCTGCTGCTGCTGTTTTTTCAGCTCAGGCTTGATGTTACTGTCACTGGACTTAGCTGTTGAAGCTTTTAAGGCTAATGGTGGCTGTAATGTACCAAACAGTGCAAGAGAGAAGAAGAGTGGAAATTAATTTAGCTATCCATTTGTCAAGATTCAGTCTGGGAGATTTTTTAGGAACCAATCTAAATCTCAGGGATAGCCTGGACCTTTAAAATGGGACACAGAATCATTTGGCTCCATAACCTTTAATCTGTTTGAAGAAAGGAGCAAATGTTAAATTCCACAAGTGTACTTTCTGAGCAAGATAAATATATATAAGACTGCTTGTTAAGACACAGTAAGCCTATAAGATCACATCCATTAAGGCAGCGGATTCTACAATGTTGTTTTAGTGGCAATTTTAGTTGAACTACTCCTGGGCGTGCCAGTGAGAATCTGGACGTTCATTCCCACAAATGCATTCTGTGTGTGGAGAGGGTTCAAGTGCCAACATCAAGGGGCTAAAGGGCACCGCTGAGATCATCTTACATTATCTTGAGCTGAGAGGCCAGGAGCAGAGAGAGAGAAGCAAAGACAGGCCCCTGTGAAAGGTACCTTGGATGCGGACAGAAATACAGCCTTGTTTGTTTTTAAAATTTCCTCTTAAACGGAGTCTCTGCAGTGGGGACTGTGATAACAGTGAGTTGTAGCTGTTTGAGGACATAAGATTAGCTTTAGTCTAGAGTGAAGGATTAAAGAGCTGTGAACTGGAGCGCCTTTGCTGAGTTCCTGAGATTGATTGTGAGGGGGGAGGAGTTCAGGGAGTGTTAAAAAAGGTCTTGAAAAAAAAAACGCCTAAGCTAGTGAGAGGCTGGCCACAAATGGAAAGTGTTGTCCCATATTAAAGAGGAATGTAGTGCTTATACAGAGTAAATAAGGCCTCGCCTGCCTTCAAACATAAACCTGGCTAGCTACCTACATGGGACCATCTACACTGAGAGGTAATAAAGGCTGGCTCATACCTGGGCAACTTCTGCAAAGACAAGACAGACTACTGAGGGGTTTTCACATATGCAGGGCAGCAGAGAAGGGGGCGATTTACACAGACATCCAAAGGGCCATTCCCAGGAAATTTTATGAAGACCCGACAAGAGCTCAAGCCTAATTCAGTTTACAGCCTGGAGAAGAGGTAAGAAATCACAAAAGGTAAACACCTAGTGTGCTGTATGGAAAGTTGACAGCATGCTTGCTCTGGAAATCAAAGTTAGGAAGGAGCATCTTTGCTGTGCTTATTAATGATACTGAAAGTGGGAGGAATCTATGCACTATAGTAACAAACTGAGTTCACTTAAGAAGCAAAAGGAACTAACAAAATGCTAAAACAGAAATACACACGGACAAGAATTTAGGAAGCGGCCTGGATGGAGCTGAGTTTAGAGTGAGACACAAAAACCAATTGATGGATTTTCAGAAGATTTTAAAGTAAGTGCAGGCACCGATGTTTTTATAAACAACCTTCAGAAAAATCCTCACTAGTGGCTTATTTAAAAGCTCTCGTTGTTCCACTGTAATGGTTAGAAAGGTGAAGAAAACTGAGATTAGACAATCTATTGTTGTATTTCATAAACTGATGCATTGAATGCTTTGAATTTTCATCATATCTATCTCACCGACTCCCACGAAAATTGAAAATGTCTCCGGAAAGTCAACGTAAAGGATGGTTGCCATATCCATGGTGGTGAAAAGGATTTACACATGAAGAACGATGAGTAAAATATTCAGCGTTTTTAAAGAAATCCACTGACAGGATTGTATACCGGGCCATGTGGCTCGGAGAGAACTTGCAGTCTCATAACAGCATGAAGTAGAAAAGTTATTTTTTAAAGAGATTTGTTTTCTCATAGAATAATTACCTCTACATGTTTCTGTGGTAGGTACCTGCAAACAGTGGGTGGAGAAGGCCTTCCCTAAGGAAATCCTGCATGTCTACTTGACTTGGTGCAGACATAACCACTCCTCCTTTGGAAGGCAGAGGAAACTCCAAGGCTCCCAGACAAGCAACATCAAGCAATATGAGAGCCACTGGGTACCAGGAAGGTCATGGATGGCATACCTCCTCCCTCAGTGACGGTCAGAAATAAGAAACAGTGAAACTCATTTTGAATAAGAGTTTGAGACAGGCCAAAGAGATAAAGCCACAGAATTACAACTGCTGTGGCTGCCTCTTCCACCCCTCCAGCATTTAACTGAGGGCAGCGAGGGGTACATGAGTGCCCAGCATGGAAGAAAGAGTGAC